AATGAAAAATATGTGTGCCCTACTTAATGTGGACTCCTAACTATATATATACATTTGGGATGAAAGATGAAAGAATATGCGTGCCCAATTTGGGTCGTCATATGAGAAAACTTGCTTCCTCTAGAGAGAGAGAGGCATAGGCCTCCCATAATCCTATGCATGAGAGGCAAGGCCTCCTCTTAGAGATAATAGAACTAGCAAGGCTTCATCTTAGAGATAATAGAACTTCTTATAGAGAGAAACACCACGATATACCTCATGTAGATTGAAAGGCAAGAAAAGCCTCCTCTTAGGGAGAATAGAGCTTCATATGGAGAGAAACACTACGATGTGCCTCTTATAGATTGAGATGCTGGTTTCTTGTAGAGAATTGGTTCTCATGACGATTTTGGGTGGGTGGTTTCCCCTTTTAGTGAGAGAAAGCTTCGGTCGCTTTTAATGGTCTATTTCTGGACAATAGTTTAGCTATGGAATATATGGAATAGAGACGATAAATTTGCTCGACTGGTTTTGTTGAGATTTGTAACTTTCATTAGCATAGTGGATTTCAATACTTGTTACCTCTCTTGGGGTGATCCATATAAATCTTTTTGTTCTTGTGGCATGTGTGTTTCATGCTTTATTTATTGTATCATGGCGCTTTTTCCTATTTTGTTTCTAACTGGATAAATACATGATCTTGGTGGGTTCTAACTTTTGAGATTCATGTTTCTATATCTAAAAGGGTTCTTAAAATCCTAACAATGCTGCCCCTTCTTAACTTCACCCAATGCTCTGGGTCAGAGTTTTATTTTGAATTGCTCAAGAATCCAATGTACTTTCTTCATTATGCAAAAAAAAGAAAGGACATGGACAAAAAAAATGACATTGTGGAAAAATCATGTACTTTCCTCATTGAACGCTTTTGTGGCAAAAGGATATTGTGAAAGTAGTCATTAGTTACTTCATCTCCTAGATGGAGTAAATAGGTATCAGTCGGGATCAAGCCTCTTTTTCTTAATTGATTGATTACAATGGCTATGTTATTGTTTAGACGCAATTCCAAGATTGACCAGACTACTTAAGAGTTCACTATATATGAGATCATATCGAAACTTAAATTTTAAAAGTCAGGAGAGGTGGGTTTCATAAAATTATGATATATGAGTAGATGAGCCTCAAAAGGCCTCCCATCTCACAAATTGTCGGTCAAGCCGACCTAGGTTTGGGTAAAATTTGAAATAGGACAAGATAAAAGGAAAACAAAAACAACAAACTTACAATGGAAATAAATAATGAAGAAAATGAAACAATCTTTGTAGCTGCCTAGAGTGCATGCATTATTGGGCCATTAAAAAGCTATCTATGATCTCATGCTCCATGATGAATGTGGACTGTGGACATGAGATAACAGCATGAAGCATTGCTCTCAGTCTGTTTGCTGCCACTTTAGCAATTGATTTATACATACCAGCTATCAGAGTAATAGGTTCTGCATTCTTCAAGGTCTCTGATACTCGACTGCCTTATTAATCCCTCCTACTTGACAAAACTATTGAAATATTGTAAAATCATTGCTCAAGGATATCCAAAAAGTATGAAAGAAGACTAAGGGTTATCCATCTCGTCCTAGGGCTTTGGGTCCTAAGGCAAACTCTTTGATCTCCTCTATAGTGAAAGCTTTTCAAGAGTAGCAAACATGCACCTCGAGGAGCCCTGAAAAATGTATCCTGTCGATGGCCACATCAGGTCTACTTTTGGATGTGAAAGCCTCGTAAAAATAGTCTACTATAGCTTGCTCTTTTAGATCCATGCCATCAACCTCCACCCTAGGTACACTAATCCCCGCGATGTTAGATCTCCTACACAAATTTGTAATAGTTTGGAAGCACTTTGTGTTGTTTTCTTTTTCTTTTTTTTGGAGGTAACTCAGTGGGAAATATAGGCCACTACCCTTTTTTAAAACTGTGAGTGGTTTTTAAAGGTGTCAGTAGGAATAGAAACAACAAAATGCAACAGCGTTATCCCTATCCTTGATCTCAGTTGCTAAAATCAGAAGATCTCCATCTCTAGAAGACCTTCCAACTCTGTTCTTAAATAGGCTTTTGTCGAATAGTCCCTCCTGAGATAGACCAAACCGCCTTCTTAACATCAATGTCAGGGATCCTTCTCATTAACAAATTGGTTATTTGTCATCCCATAATTGCAGCATTCTCTCACACTTGCCTCATAATTTTAAAAGCATGTTTATTTTGCAGCCAAAAGAGCTCAAATCTAAATGGGGCTTATGCAAACCATAAAGTTAGTATTACAGTCAATTATTTCTCTTTCTTTACTTGAAAGCTTGAGCATTCGAATATTACTATAACCTAATCGATATGCAACATCAACACCATGACTGAATTTATGTTGTTTGGTTTTTTTTTTTTTTTGTGTATGTTTGCATGAGGACACGATATTCTCATTTGACAATTTAGAATTTTAGAAGCTTCATGTGAACTTTTACTGTTTAATTATCGTCACAAAAGCACGTAATATATAATGCAGACGTGTTTGGTTTGAAAGGTTAATTTTAATATCGGTATTTACACTTCTAATGTACCCAATGCCAACATGTATCCGAGCATTTGTAAGTGTTACATGGGCACGGACATGAGTGCCATGTCTATGAGCGTGCAGAGGTGTCTACATCTTCAGCTATAGTTAGAGACGTTGGTTATTAATCAAATAATTTATGATATTTTGTTGAAAAGTTGATGGAACTGGCAATATTTGCCAAACAGTACTCAAGTTGAGAGATGGAGATAGGGTTGTCAAACAGGTGCACCCAGATCAGATATGATTGGGTCCTAGCTGGACCCATACCCGTGTTGGCTCCAGGCCATTAGATCCAACCCAACCCACTAGGTCGGGCCTGCCCTTTATCGAAATAAAAGAAAAATTAAATTTATTATAAATGTTCTATAATTATTTATAGAAAATCTTTTCAACTTCTACAGGCGAAAATGAACAATGATTTCGTCTACTCTTATCACCGTCCAAAGTTCATCGTACAGTCACAATTGTCTGGTAGTATTTCATTTTTTCATTTTTTTTCTACAAATTGGAATCACTTGAAATTTGGAGTATGTGTACATCCTAGTGAGGCACACCTAAAAAAAATATAAAAACAATAATTCACAGAAAATAAATTGACTAAACTATCTCCAAAACTTTTTAAAGGTATTTGGGTTAATTTTTTAATATAAAATATTGTTTTGATATTTTTTGTAGATTCACCTATTTTTGATAAACACATACTCCAAAATTTCAGGTCGTTCTGATTTGTAGAAAAAAATGAAAACTGAAATACCACCGGACAATCGTGACCGTGCAATAAACTTTGGACGGTGATGAGGGTAGGCGGAATCATTGTTCATTTTTTCCTACAGGCATTTTGTAGTATATTCCATTATTTATATATGTATATATATAGGGTGCGATTTATATAAAGCCTAGGTTCTAAATAATCAAATTAGAGTCTACCTTCAAATAGTGTCGCGAAATGTAGTTTCAATACTGAAAATATTTGTGATAGACTTAAAATATATTCTCATATTGATTTATAAAGTTTAAAGGTTAAAAAATAGTGTAAATCGATAGATCTATGAAAACTTGAAAATCTTAAAAATTGATGGTCAAAAAATGCATTACAAAATACATTATTTCCAAAACTTGAAATCCATTTTTTTCTCTTGTCCATGCATCTTGATGTAGAGATGATCGATTTGAGGATATTTGCGTATTAAAACAACCTCTTCGAGTGAATTTTTTGAGATAGGCTCACATTTGATTGTTTAGAGCCTCGGCTCTATATAAACTTTTACCATATATATATATATATATATATAGAAAAAGTTTATATAAGGATGCTACCTTATAATGTAGAACTACAGATGCCCCTAAAAAAATCCATCGGAAAAAGTAGTTTTAATGTTAAAAAATCTTTTGATTGATCATATCGACATCGCGATCTATGACTATGAAAAATAAAAAGATTTTAAGTCTGAGAAATAGTGCATTTTACTGCATATTGTCTACACCGTCTATTTTCAATATTTTCATATGTTATCTACTTGATTTTAACCATTTTTTAAATTTTAAATTTTATAATTAGATATAAAAATAGATTTTGAGATAATTCTAAGAACATTTTATATCAAAATTATATACCATGGTAAAATTGGAAGGTCCACCTTACCTCTACACCTACGGGATGCATCCATATGCAAATTGCACCCAACTACAAATAGTACCAAATTCACACCCATTAAGCCGTCACTTTTTGAACCCCTTGAGTACGGGTGGCAACGGTCGACCCGACTAGGTTTTTACCTAGGCCTAGGTCAGGTTCCAAGCATTTGGGTAGATCGATGTCCGTGGGAATGGAAACCTAAACAGGTAGCGGAGGCTTAAGTAATGCTACCACCACGACCTCAATCCCATTTCCAAGTGGTAAGTCAATGGGAAAAAAGTCTTAAGTCAATGAGAATTTGGACCCTTACCATTTTGGTGAGAATGAAATCATAGGCCCATAAAATATTACATTATTAGGTTTTTCTGATATTCACCAAAAAGTTAGTTCCAACTCCAAGCGAGAAACCTACGTCTTGGCTAACTGATTTGTTTATGAATCGGCTTCTCTCCAGACATGACTGAAAGAAACTTCAAGGGCATCATAACATCAATAATCTCCCTCCGAAACCCATCTAAGTTTCCAATGCACCATTTGTTTTTCTTCGGCTTGTATTAATAGCATTTTGAGAGTTCCCTTTCCCTATTAGAACAACACCCAAACGATGCTCCGCAAATAATTTCACACTTGCAATAACACTTTCAAGTCAGCCTTATTTTATTTATTTATTTATATTTATTTTTTATTTATTATTATTATTATTATTATTATTATTATTATTATTATTATCATTATTTTTACGTTAACTCAACTATCATTAAAAAGAGCAAAGCTCGGAATTACAATTGTTACAAAGTGAGCCTTGTTTGCATACACCACTCCACATGGCCCAGAAAATAGATATTAGCATAAAGCCTGACTGTAGAATCTCTAAGAAGATCACCCAACCCAACGGCATGAATTATTTGTAGCTTTAGAATTGTAACCCTTGTGATATCCTAAAGATTTATTTCCACCGTTAATTATAAAACTTAAAGCTCAAAAAATTGTATAGATTGAGTATGTCTAAACATTTGATAATATTAAAAATGGACTACATGGATAATACATTATAAGATGTACTATTTTCAAGAATTGGAACACTTTTTTTTTTTTTTTTTCATATCCATACATTTTGAAGTTGAGATATATCAATTGAAGGGATTACAACATCTAAACAATATATTTTGATGGGTTTTTGGAATGTGACTTACTTCTACAGTTAACTTCCATAATATTTTTGCCACAGATAAGTGGGGGTAATTCCTATACAAACTTTGCCATAGATAAATGGGGTAATTTTTCACTTGATGCATTTTTCAAACTCTACTAATTTCCTCTGTCGACAGTAAAATCCTTACATGTCCTCAGCATTAACACCTGTATCCATCATCCGTTCTTAAGATCTGATGGCGGAGATTAACTATAGGATATTGATTACTGCGATTGCGACCGAGGTCAGATTTCATCCCCGCCGTGCATCACAGATCAAATAATGGATGCCCTGCATGTGTATATGGTTATTAGGGTTATTTGTTGTACTTCCCCATCATAAAAGTTTAATCTATGTTTTGTAAAAATTTACTTGGAGACCATCCTCCGACCAATTTTTCTTCCCAATATTACATAGGTGGGGAATTCACCTTTTTTTGATACTTTCTATTTTAGTTTAAAAAATTATATTTTTATTTTTTAAATTCTTCATTCATTTTTTAATGTGCTATTTGTTTTTATTTTTTAAAATAAATATCTCTATTACTTTTTAATATCTTGTTACCATTATTTTTTAAAATTAAAACAAATCCTCAATTTATTTATGGATATTGGGGAATCTTTTTTTTTAGATATTAAAAAATAAAGGGTGAGGTTTTTATAAGGTTACAACCTTAAACAATCCAGTTAAGGGGCACCTTAAAATTTTATCATAACAAGTAATTTTATTGTAAAAAATTCTTAGTATTATCTTAAAATCTAGTTTCATACCTAATTAGAAAATTTTAAATTTAAAAAATGGTTAAAATCAAGTAGATCTATAAATATATGAAAATCTTGAAAATGGACAGTCTAGATAATTGTTGTAAGATGCATTATTTTTGGAACTCAATTTTTGTTTTTTTTTTTTATATTCATACATCTCGATGTCAAGATGATTGACTAGAGTGTTTTTTCAACATTGAAACAACATTTCCGATATATTTTGGAGGTGCATATGTGATTCTACATTTTAAATTTGCAACCTTATATAAACTTTTCTTAAAAAAATAAATAGAGATTTTCGACCTATTCGATTTTGGAGATGTCAGACCCGGAAGGGGGGGGCGATGGGGGATGGTCTTTGAGTAAATGTTTGAAAAATATAGTTTGCACGTAAATTTGCTCCCACCTATTTATCATTGTGCAATCACACACGTGCCAATTCAGGCCTTCACAAATGAACCCAGGTCCCCCTCGGATATAAATTCCCACACCTAAACCCTAAACCCTAAATTCAACACAGTCCTTATTCATCATCTGTCTCTCTCTCAATCCCTTTATTCGGAACCATTCTTCAACCTCTCTCTTGTAGAAAGCAGGAATCAAAACCCTAGGTAACGATAGATTTGTCTATTCCTTGCCAATTTATGTAATTTATTGTGGTGATATTCATCAAGAACACACTCTCTATGCACATTCTCGTTCTTCAATCTCTCTATTACACTGTTTCTTTCCCTCTCTCCCTTAACGTTTTCTGCTTTATTCGATTAGAAGTGTTGTTTTTAGCATTGTTGGACAAATGCGGTAGGGATCTGATTTCATTTTACTGTTTTCGTTTTTTTTGGTTAGTTCTTTCTTCTCTATGTGGAGATTAAAATTTAATGTGCCATTTTCGAGCTTTCGATTCTTTTACGACGTTGTTAACAATGGGCGCTATAGTATTTTACTTTTTTCTTAAAATTTTATTGAAAATTTACTGTGGAAATATGCCTTCATAATCCCAGATAAACTTGCCAGAGTGTTTGTCTGATTCATGGGAGGCAAAGATCGACTGTGGAAGCTTCGCTGACAATGCCTTGTTTCTTGTAGAGGTGTTTCTGATAGTAGCTTACCATACACACAGCCATCAGTCTTTCATATTACCATGAAAAATTAAATATTGTGTTAAATGCCTTAGAAAAAATATCCATGCATATCCTTCTAAGTATTCGCGAGATCAATGTCAGCTAGATCAGTGCCTAGCATTGAGCTAGGCATCACATTATGTGTTTTAGCTCAAACACTACCTCTTGTCTCTCAAACTCAAGTACTCTCTTAACAGATTTGTCTCACTGGATTTTATGATTTTTTTGTTTTATTATTGTTTTACTACTCCTTCTCTGTTATTGGCTTTATACAAACATTCATATGAAAATGCAACCATAGAAAATGCAACCATAGGAATTTGTCATTGTTTTGTTCCTCTTACCTACCCCGCAACTCTGTTTAATGCAAATTTATTTTATAAAGATTAAATGTTTATTCTTCTTTAACACACAAAGTGGATGTGATTGACATTATTTTTTGTGCATTTTTGTTGTACCTCTGCTCCACTGAATTAACTTGGATCCTACAATTTATCCTGCAATTTTTGTTTAATGGAGAAGTATCAGTAATGAATTGTAAACCCCAATTTGAAGAAAAGAAAAATTCATTGCTTTTATTTTTCTTTTCAGCAAATTCATGTTATAGATGCAAAAAATAAGCACATATCGAAGGCTTATGGTTTAGATCTACTGGCCTTGAGCTCAAAACTTGTGCAATATTTGAAGTGTCACCCTTTAAAGAATTCCTATGGTATACTTCATGTTTTCATAAGGCTTCATGATGGATGACATAAATTTCATTTGTGTTATGTTAATTTGTTTTTGATGGGATGTGCTTTTTACATTTATTAATTTATTTCGTTTTACTGACACTTGACTAAGTTAATTTGGTTTTATCTATTATTTATGGAACTTCCATTAAAGTACTAGATCTTTTTTTTATTTTTTGTCTGTAAACATGTCTATACCAATTTATGACTGAAGAAACTCGATGCATCCTTTTTACACAAACTTCTGTTTTATTTTTTCTCTTTGATTTAACTTAGTAGTAGTTTGTTAGTTTTCTCAATTTACATGTCTAGTGTCACATGTAAGTGTGTATTTTCTCCCATTTAAATGTGTCCCATCTAGTAATGTTACTTATCCTGTTTGCTATATAGAAGCATATTATTAGTAAGATTGGAAATCATGCATTTAAAAAGTATTTGGTTTGGATCCACTTCAGTTCATTTTATGGTTCTGAAACTCAAGAGATAGTTGAAGGGATCTGGATCTTCCAGATGTGCAGGTAACATAACCATTGCTTTTTATTGTTCTAAATAAAGCAGTTAGCATTTTAGCCAGTGTTCTAAAATTCGTTCAAGTTCCCTTGGACTTGCCTGAGTTACTCAGACTCGGCAAGGTGCATAGTTGGAGCAGGAACAGGCCAAAATCGGCCAGTTCTTATATTTTAGTATTATCACTTGTATAAATTTGTCCAATGCAGACTCGGCCGAGTCGGTATGAACAACACCTGACTTGAGTTCAAGCCTTGTTTTTGAACATGGATGTTAGCTGTCAGAGCTGGGGTTCAAAAACTTGAACTGGGACCAGGACCAAGTCCAAGTGAAATCTGATTCTACTCCTCACTCCACAAGTTATTTTCTCTCTGAGACACATTTTTACTCTGATATTGAAGTGATCGTTGGCTCAGTCCTTGTTACTCCTTGATCCCATGCTTGGAGCTCTTATCAATCATCGATTATCCATTCCTTCTACTTAAATAATACCTTATAACCCTTCATCATCCTCAACAAAACAGATCTAACATGCCCCTTAAATTCAAATATGCAGGATCTCATCATGGCAAACCCAAAAGTATTTTTTGACATCCTGATTGGCAAAGCAAAAGCTGGTCGAGTAGTAATGGAACTCTTCTCAGACATCACCCCAAAAACTGCTGAAAACTTCCGTAGCCTATGCACTGGTGAAAAGGGCATTGGAAGGTCAGGCAAACCCCTCCACTACAAGGGCTCGACCTTTCACCGAATAATACCAGGCTTCATGTGTCAAGGAGGTGATTTCACAAGAGGAAATGGAACAGGTGGAGAGTCAATCTATGGCCTAAAATTCGAAGATGAAAACTTCAAAAAGAAGCATGTTGGACCTGGTGTTTTGTCAATGGCCAATTCTGGTGCGAATACAAATGGATCACAGTTTTTTATTTGTACTGCAAAGACCTCTTGGCTTGATGGGAGACATGTGGTTTTTGGACATGTGGTTGAGGGGTATAATGTGGTTGAGGCAATGGAGAAGGTTGGTTCCGAAGATGGGATGACTTCTTCGCCAGTCATGATCGAGGACTGTGGACAGGTGAATCCATGAGTTTTCATTGGTAGTGTAACATTTTTAATTTGCTTTAATGACAGATTTCCTTGGCTAATCCTTGATATATCTATCAATCTTCCCTGTACATGTTAACATTCGTGTATTATGTTCTTCGAGTTAGAAGTTTAATGGTGAATTTTGTTACAAATAAAAATAGACAGGGATTTTTCTATTGGGAATACTGTCTTTTGTAATAACAATTGTGAATGACTGAACAAAAATCTTGTATAAAATAAGGAAAATTGTTTCATGCGGGCTGGACCACATATATGGTGTAAAGCATCTATCTTAAAGATGGATACAAGTGGGTGTTCCATCTAAAAATAAACAATGGAAACTAACGGTCCAAATGTTTTTTTACTAGAATTATTAGTTTTACTTTTTAAAATTTATTTCTTTTTTCATGTTCATGATTTCCATGTTAGAGATTACATGTCCTTAAAATTAAGTCTTAAAATCCAGCTCAAAAATAGATTTTATTAATAGGCCCGCATTTATACGTATGCAGGCTTGGCTGCATAGAAACCGGGTTCATAAAATAATGGATAATTTAAATCATTGCCATTTCTATACACTGAAAGAAGATGCTCCATATTTCGTGAGGTTTTATTGACCTTTTTACTGCATTTGTTGGGAAAATTTAGTTTTTGCGGGTCACCCACATTTCTGGAATTTCTTAACTTGTGTAGGAAAATTCTTTCAAAAATTTCAGATCTGGCAATAGAAATTTAAGCTTTGTAGAATTATTCTTTCAATTTTTCAGCTCTGGCATTGCCTTTCTTTTTTTTGCACTTCTTCTTTTCTGCAAATTCTTAATAGATTCCGAAACTTGAGTTTTTTCCTTGGATATTGTCCAGCCGATGAACTCCTGCAAATGAAATATCTCGCTTGGGAATTTCTTTAATTCTTATTCTTTTACACTGCATTTTTCTACATTCATTCTTATTCTTTTTGCGTAAATTTTGTGTTTTTTTTATCTAATCAAACAGATTAATGGATTAGTAACATCTGTAAGCGAAGTAATAAGTAAAACAACTTGCCATATACGCATCTAAGAGATTAGACAAAAGGGTAGAGAGAGAGGGCATCGGAACATCGTCGGTGAACACATCATTGATTGCTTCAGATTTAGGCTTCCATTCTCATCCAATATTTTAAAAAAAAACCATTAACGATTTATAAAATGGGCTTCCATTCTCATTCAATGCCCTAAAAAAACCATTGTCATCCAATACCCTAAAAAAAAACATTAACGATTTAAAAAATAAGTAGGGGTTTGTCATCCCCACTTAATTATCCAAAAATAAATAAATAACACAAACAATAGTACTGCACAAAAGAAGTGAATAGAAATGGCAAGAAAACACGAGTCAAAATCTCTCTCTCTCTCTCTCTCTCTCTCTCTCACAGTTTCTCTCTTTTTCACACACAAAATTAGACACCAAATCTATAATAAAAAAGAGAAGTGTCGATTAAGTAATGCTTTGTTACAGAATTTCAAAGTAAAAGAACTAATTGAAACACATATTATAGCTTGTCGAAAGCCAAAAATAAGCCTATATTTTTAGAGTAATGATCATATACGACCTTCTCCTATTCATGTGTATAAGACTCCAAATGATCATCATTAAAGTTTGCACGGATCTCTAAAAAAATTATCACATAAGTGTGGGATTTGATTTTTTTATAGATCTGTGTCAAATTTAATGGTGGTCTTTTGAAATCTTACATACATGGGTGGGAATAGGATTACTTCTTATAGGACCCTCCCCCACCTATGTGTGTAGGATCCCAAAAGATCACCATTAAATGTGGCATGGATCTATAGAAAAGTTAAGTCCCACACTCATGTGATAACTTTTTTAGAGATCTGTACTAACTTTAATGGTAAATTTTTCGGGTCCTTCATACATAGATGGGGGAGGGTCCTATAGGATCATTACTCATTCTTAAATAAAAAATTGAATAAAATTTGTGAGAGTACATGTGTTTCAATACAAGATTATGCAAAGATACTATAAAAATTCAAGAATAAGCCATGTAAGTGCAGATATGCATATATACAAATAAAAATTTATGCTCTATGAAAAAAATCCAAAATTAGTTTGGTGTATCAAAAAGCGCTAGGCGAGTCTTAGACGGCCTTGGGGGTCCAGGCCGCCCAGCGTTTAGGCGGTTGCTCAGAACTTGGGTGGCTGCCAGTTGAAATTTGAAAAAAAGTAAAAACCATACCAATTTACCAATATAATATCATATTCCAAGTTAAAAAAAAAAAGATAGACGTTGAGAAGAGAATTTTGATAATCCATATTGTTAAAACAGTAAACTGTACAAGTGTAGGTAGGATATAAAAGTCAACACTCAACACAACAAAAATTTAAAAAAATATAACAAAAGTCAACAATCATGACTCAACACAACATTCAACAGACTCAGCACCAAGAGGCAATAGTCTTCAGTGGTCGTCATCATCATCAGAAGGAATATTAATAGGGCAAACCTCATCATATGTACCAAAGTTGCGGCCATCATCATCAGAGTCATATCCCTCTTCAATATAATGCTCGTCCTCATCTGTTTATTCCGAATCTGCCTCTTCTTTCTCCTCTTCTTCTACCTTCTTCTTACTAGTCTGTGCAGATGAGGCTCTAGGAGTTTTGGTTGCTTTACCATTTTTTTTGTGCTTCTCTGAATTCAAATATTGTATAATTTCTTCTTTGGTAGCCTTAATACTGGCAACGTGTTTTTTAAATTGACAAATGCCCCCATTAGTATCCTTTACACAATAATTATATTTAATACAAATTTTATCACTTGGATTCGGGTTATAACCATAGTTCCAACCCGGATCACCACTACGTCTATAATCTAGAGAAGAAGGCTTATTTTCATCATTTCCTGGTTCTTCAAAATTCAGAAGATGTCTAATCTTATCTTGAACTGCTTCAGCAACCTTTGTACAATAAGCAACATTGCCTCTAACACCAACAATGTGTTTTTTGAATCAGCTAATATTCTCATTGATATCTTTTTCATAAAAATTGCACCTTATATATTTTTTATCATTTGGTTTTGGGTTGTACGCATACTTCCAACCTGGATCACTTTTTTTAAGAGTAGCAGAAATATATCTATGACAAAGATTTTATTCTTGTTTTTGTTTCACATAACTTTTAAATTGCTTAATCTCTTCTCTGATAGCTTCAGGAACATTTTTACAAAGGAAAACATCTCCCTTAATACCGGCAAGATGTTTCTTAAACCGGTTTATGCCTCATTTTGTATTTTTTTTTACAAAAATTGCATCTAACGCAATTTTTGTTATTTGGATTCGGGTTGTATCCATATTTCTAACTCGGATCTCTACTCCGACTAACTCCTGAAAAAGACATCTCAAAATAAAACAAGCAATTTAAAAAATGTACTTATTTTGGTTGCTCGAACTCAAAACATTGAAAAACACCTCAATGATTCGATCCAATGAAATGTAATTTTTTTGGAGGTTCTTTCTCTCTAAAATGGTTACTTGTGGGTTTAGGTTTCAAATGAACCTAAAACCCATTGTTTTAAACTTTTATACATTGAAAAAAACGAAAAAAAAAAAAAAACTTTTCCACCTCTGGGCGGGGCGTAGGCTTTGGGCGCCTGCCTAAGGCTGGGCGCTGGGCAGCAGCCCAAGGACTACTGCCCAGTTTGGCCGCCTAGATTTGGGCGATGTGCTCAGGCCTTCTGAACCGCCTAAGTGGCTGCCTAAACGAGGGACGGTCCATTTTTTTGAACAATGATTAGTTTGGATTGACATTCTAGTTAAAAAGAATGGAAATTATTGCTAATATATCTTAATTTTAAGAAAATCGTAAAAAAAAAAACAACTTCCCAAAACCTCGCCCACACCGTTTTTTCCCAATTTTCGGCTTTTACTGGATGAAAATACCCTTTCGGTAGTCTTTCTACTGTAATGCATTGCCACCATTATGGTAATTAAAATACCGTTGTAAATAGAGATAGAATTACGGTACTTCTAGTACCGTAATAACGTGAACATCTATTACAATTTTTTAATTACCGTAATACTCTACACGGTACTTTAATTACCGTAATAACATATGGTATTACGGTAATTAAAATATCGTAATACCTTAAAGTAGTATTACAGTAATTTTATTACTGTAATATTGCCTAACTCAAATCAAAAGATTTTTTACTCTCTCTAGTCTACTATCTATTTACTCCCTCGACAAAAATCCATGCTAGCTGTATTTTTCAAATCTCAAAATTTTAAGATATAATCTCTACTTAATTTTTATATAGTTCTCTAAATTTTATAAAAAAAACACTCTTAAATAGGTATTTTTGAGCGAGGGAGTAAATCCACATCGTGCTCCCATGGGAACATGGATATTTTGAAGAGAGAGAGAGGTAGCCTTGATATTAGCATTAGTTTGAAGCTTATAAAGTATTACGGTATTAAGAATACCGTAAAGACTTTACGGTATTCTTATTACCCTAATACTTTTGACTTTACGGTATTTTTATTACAGTAATACTTTAAAAGCTTCAAACCAAAGCTAATATCAGGGCTACCCTCTCACTTTTCAAAAAATCCATGTTCCCATTGGAGTACAATGTGGATCTACTCCCTGGCTCAAAAACACCTATTTAAGAGTGTTTTTGTTCTAAAATTTTGAGAACCATATAAAAATTATATAGAATTATATTCTAAAATTTTGAGATGTGAAAAATACAGTTAGCATGATTTTTGTCGAGGAAGTAAATAGATAGTGGACTCGAGAGAGTAGAAAATCTTTTGTTATTGGGCTTGGGCAATATTATGATAATTAAATTACCGTAATACTATTTTAAGATATTACGGTATTTTAATTACCGTAATGCTCTATGTTATTATTGTAATTAAAGTACCGTAATAGATGTTCATGTTATTATGGTATTTGGTACTAGAAGTACTATAATTCTATATCTATTTATGACAATGCATTACGGTAGAAAGACTATCGGTATTAGAAAAAAGGGTGTGGGCGAGGTTTTGAAAAATTAAGGGTTTTTTTTGTAATTTTTTTAAAATTAAAGTATATTAGGGAAAATTTCCCTAAAAAGAAAATAAAAAATATTCTAATTTTTAATGATACCAAAATTGCAAGCTCCCAACCAACAAAATCAA